AAGACAAAACCTGTTATTATTTACACAAAATGTAAAATTTATTTTCTTTTATTCTCAAACTTCTACACAAAAAGACTCAAGCAGCTTCATAGAGAGCATCTGATGTTTATTTTCCACTTCCTTTCTGCTGGCTGTTGCTTAGTAACTTTATCTCTTACATAATTTACTGTAGTCTGTGGCTGTTTAATTACCCGTTGTAGCAAAAACACAAACCCAAAAAAGGAAAGCTTGCGCTCTTATTTTGCCCAGTGACTCACAGCCTTGTGCATCTGTGCCCTGCATGTAGAGACTGATACTTATGTGTGAGTTTGCTCCACAGATTGACCCTTAAATGTGATCAAATGTGACTGTCTTCACTGACACTCTCCAGTTTATTGGTTCCGTTTCTGATTTCTTGCCTTTCTGTCATCTCTTTGTGTTTTTCCATCAGATCTTCATGCGGTACGGTCGGCAGCGGTGGAAGCTGAAAGGCAGGATTGAAGTGAACTCCAGACAAAGCTGGGATGGAGACGAGATGATCTTCATGCCGCTCATCTCTGACCTCATCAACATCAAGGTTGCCGCAGAAACAAACAAACAAACAAAAACATTTAAAAAAATGCCTCGAAGCTGCGATAATTCCTCCTCCTGTGAACGAAAGAATCAAACCTGTGTTCTGGGGTTCCGTCAGGTGACCGAGCTGAAGGGCCTGGCCACTCACATGCTGGTCGGCATCTGTGAGACCAAGGAGCTGTTCACCGCCATGCCTCAGGTGGTGGCTGTGGACGTCAACGACCTGGGAACCATCAAACTCAACCTGGAGGTGACGTGGTAGTGAGTATCGGGGATTAATAAAACCTGAGGAAGCTTATCAAAAATGTTTCTTGTTTTTGTTTTGACACATTTTTTAGATACATTTTTTAAAGAAACATCAAGGATATTCACCTCCTACATATGGAGCAGTGATGAACTGTAGCCAGCATCTATTTTGGTCCTTGTGGAGTCTATTACTGGTCTGTCCGTGTAATGCCCACAACTGTTGCTTAGCTTCAAAAGCAGCATCTACTCAGCTTGTGACTTCCTGCCGCCTTGTGGAGAAACATCGTCTGCACAAGCAAATCACCCACCTTAAAAAAAATGTTTTTGTTCCCCTTTTAGTCCCTTCGATGTTGAAGACCTGACTCTGTCCTCCGGAAACTTGAGTAAAGCCACGGTCCTGCAGAGACGAGTGTCTGTCTACAGCCAGGGCACTCCGGAGACCCCCACCTTCCAGGACAACTCCTTCTTTGTGAGTCGACACGTCGTCTCCTCGTTTGTTTGATGTTTGATCATACGCCCACACCTGCCGTGCATCACAACCACTACCGCTAAACTAACAATTCGTGTCCACGTTGGAACCATTTGACCCACACACTGTCCCTCTTGACACGTTTTTTTTTTCCATCTCATCTCCCTCAAACCCCCCCACACACACTCTGTCCTGTAAAATGCTTGCTTGCATCATGTAAAGAAATGGCAGCCGTACCCCGTGCAGCGTCAGCGCCTCTCTTTCCTCCAAATGCTCCGAGAGACGCTGCTGGAGAAGCTAAGGCGCAGTCGCTCCTTTGGGGACCTGGCCTCGCTTCGGCCAAGACCCAAATCCAGTCTGGAGGTCTATGTGAGTGCGTTGTGTGCCCCTAAACCCCACCCTCTCTGACCTGAGTGTGCTCTCCTGTGTTCACCTCACTGACTCTCTGCTGGGTGTGTTCGGTCCCACTGTGGTGAGGGGGCTGCAGCACCTTGTTTGGCCGTTTGCGTGACTTTTTCTTTTGCACGGCTGGCTTTAAGCGATTTTATTTTTCATGTTTTCTTGCTTGGTTTTTGTGATCTGGAAAAAGCTTTTCTCTTGTATTTTCTGCACCGTTGTCTTTATCTTTTTGATTTATTTGTTTTCCGTCGCAGGCCACTTTGCCAGACGACGTCTTTGAGAACGGCGGCTGCGGCATGGCCGAGTGCAAGCGCCTGTCCTTCACCTTCTCTGACACATCGGGGTCGATGCCCAGCCCGGCCCAGAGTTCCTTCTCCCAGAGCCAGTCCAACCCCGAGATCACAGTGACTCCTCCGGAAACGGAGTCCTTTACTGCACAGATCCTCCAAACGAGGGAGGACTCCATTGCCGAGGAGCGTTTGGTGGAGGAGGAGGAGGAGGAAGAGGAAGATGAGGAGGAGTATGAAGAGGATGGAGAGACGGGTAGTAGAGGGAGCAAAACCAGTGCCAGCTTCGCCAGCGATGAGGCAGATGTCGCCGAAGACTCGGAGTGGGAACGCACCGAGTCGCAGCGTAACTCCAGCTACAACTGCGGCTTCGCCGAGCCGTSCCTGTGCTCCGACGGACACGTGTCCACCGTGGCTCCCGAGGACGTCTTCCTGGATCACGCCGACGAACTGAAGCCGGTGGAGTTGGACACGGAGGAGCCGGGCAGCCTGACCAGGCAGCTGGTGAAGAGGCTGACCTCCTCGGAAATCATCCCCAGCGGTGGCGGCGGCTTCACGGAGGGTGGAGGGAGCCTGAGCTGGGCGGGAGAGGGGAGCCGGGCGTTCCTGGAGAGCAGCCTGGAGGAGGCCATCCACTGCCTGCTGACCAAACTGGAGTCTCTGACCCATCGCTGCCGAGAGCTGCAGGACCTGGAGCAGGAAGTGATGCGCCTGGAGGACCTCCTCAAGGTGAACCTAAAAGCTGTTCTTAAAGTATAGGGATGCCCCAATGTACGAATACTTGAGTTTGGGTACACGCTGATACCGAGTACTTACTGAGTTATAACCAAGTCGATTGATCCAGTAATAGTGACACTAACCTTAAATCATGCTGTTTAAATCTCGTAGCTCCACGACTTCAGCTACAGGACARAAGTCCAGTTGTTTCATCTTTTTTCTTGTGATTTTCCATGTCCTGGATGACTGAGAATCCAYAGAAACATCTAAYAGTAATGWTGAACCGTATCGATACTAAAGTTCTGAATTGATACTTTGGTTAGTTTCACTTCCAGCAYRTCTKTGTGACCCCACACKTCTTCAGCTACAGAACRGAAGTCCAGTTGTTTCATCTTTTTTCTTTGAATTTTCCATGTCCTGGATGACTGRGAATCCACGGAATGATAGTAACGGTGTCAGACCGTGTCGATACTAAAGTGGATCAGTGTTTTAGTTTGTACATGTTGCCTCGCTCTCGTTTCRTAAATACACATTTCACCWGAGCAGCCAACCAGAGGCAGGTCAAARWGACCTGTTTACTTCTGTAAACKGYGAGCAAAATTTGATGTCATCTTCTGCGCATGCGTGTCGCATYGACAGCAAAAAGTGTACACATTATGTAGGTTGCTTTTAAAATGTGAAYGTCCACACAAATAAGTGGTATCGTTCTGGGTATCGGRCATTTTGAACAAGTACGAGTACTTGTAAAAATACTGGTATCAAGCCCAATACCTGATACCAGTATTTGTATCRGTTCATCCCTAATTGAGTATTGTTTGAAGGGTTCAGTCTAACCTTTTATAGCTCGACTTTTTTTTTTTTTTTTTGCTTTTATCAGTGTGTTGGGTTTCAAAGTCCTGTTTCTCCACAGTGTCGTCTCCCGGGTCACAGAAGTCGGTCCTCCAGCCTCAGTCTGACCATAGAGAGCGCTCTGGAGAGTTTTGACTTCCTCAACACGTCTGACTTCGACGACGACGATACCGGCGACGATAACGCCGGGATTAACAGCCCCCCGCAGAAGTCTCCGCTTTATGATGTCGACGGAGAGAGGATCGAGTGAGTTACAAAAMTTACCTCCAGAACTAGATCAGGAAAATGGAAACTTTAGGTTTTATGGTAACGAAAATCAAAGATTTATGTGAAATGTTTCAGCTTGTTCTTCTAGTTTACAGTTTAATAAAACAAGGCACTAAAKTAAACCACAGTTCCATCTGTGTGTTTCTGCTGCCACCCTGTGGTCACTCCTGGTATGTGCCTCTCAGGGGCCAGCACCCGGAGGCGAGGGGACACCTGAGCGAAGCCCTGACCGAAGACACCGGGGTGGGGAACAGCGTGGCAGGAAGTCCCATGCCCCTCACCACTGGAAATGAAAACCTGGACGTGGCCATCGTCATCCACCTTCAGTACTGTAATCACCTCATACAGGTAGAGATTCTGATTCCCGCTGAGCTTTTAACTCGGATGTTCAAGTTGACCGATCATGCGGTTAAATGTCCCGGCAGCTGTTGAGCAGCGGGGTCGGGGTGTGGCAGCGTCGCAGTTTGCTCCTCAAACTGTCCGGGCAGACCCAGCTGTTGGAGGAGCTGGCAGAGATCAGCGTGGACCGGCTGGGAGCTGTTACCTCGGCTGCTGACGGTAAAAAAAAAAAGAAAGTTGTTAATTGTTCCGTTTTTTTCAATTGAAGGTTTGTAACCTCTGACCTCCTGTTTTTGCGGCGTTCCCTCAGTCCTCCCGAGCCTCGCCCAGCGCCCTCAGCTGATGACGCTGTGGTCCGAGTGCAGCGGGTCTGCGGGGCTTTTCCACACCACGCTGGACCGTGTGTTCAAGCACATGAAGCAGCGCTACACGAYGGTGCTGCAGGAGAGACACTCACACGGCGCTGAGACAGGTTGGACCAACCACAGATCAGATTATACACAGGATCGATTTGAGTGATGGTTCACGAGTAAAAATAAACTTGCATGTTGATGAAGATGTGACACAGTCTGCAGTCAGASTGTTGTGACTGACAGTGTTGTAGCCGTTTTTGTGAACTCTACAATCAATTAGCTGTGGCAGCCATCTTGAATTGGATTTATTCCAGCAGACTGAGAATAGTTCTTTTGAAATGTAAAAATCCTGCTCAGAGTTGTTTGTTTGTTTGTTTGTTTGTTTGTTTGTTTGTTTGTTTGTTTGTTTGTTTGTTTGTTTGTTTACTCCAGTCATCAGCATGGTGGTGGGTGAGATGGTGGACAGGAGCGATTTGGCCGCAGCTCACAGCCCGCCTCCCGTAGCCGCAGCTCTCTCCCAGGACGTCCTGACCGTCTTTCAGTTCCACAGCTACATCTTAGAGCACCAAGTCCAGGACATGGAGACCCACCTGCTGCACCTGGCGAGAGAGGGTGAGCCCCCCCCCATCAATATAAATATAAACAAACCTCATTGTTTTATAGTTTCATACTTAGTTTCGGTGCAAGTGAGGGATGTAAGCACACCGTCTGCTTYGTCCTCAGAGAGGTTTGGGGAGGTCCTGTGCAGTGGGGATTCTCCTCGGTGTCTAACAGAACTGGAGGAGGTGCCTTTGTCGACTCTCTGGCCTCGACACGGCACCCTGAGAGCCCTGGCCTCCCTCCTCACTGCAGAAGACCCTCAGGTCAACAAGGCAGCAGCTGATTACCTCTCCTCCGGAGCGTCAAACAGGCGCTTCAGGACGAGGGTGAGCTTCGGAGCGCAGACAGCAGGAAGCGTGTAGATCGTTCAGAACGGCCTCGTTTGAAACGTTGTGTGTGTCGTCTGCAGGCAGTGGAGTGCTACACCCAGGCTCTGTCSGAGGCGGGAGTTCAGAGTCAGAGAGCCGCCTGCTCCGCTCTCAGCTGCCTGCAGGTCAGTGTCTCCCTCTTCTTTAAATATACGGTTAGATACAGTCTTATATCTAATACTTTGTAACAGTTTATTTTAAACAGAGGCCATATCCTGTGTAATCAGGATAAACCAGGTCTGAGTTCTGTGTGGTAACTTTGCAGGTCTGTAAATTAATATTCAAGTCTGAGAACTGAATCAGTCTCCTGCACAGAATTTATTCTCTCATTTCAACATAACCTTTCAGCCCAATTTCTTTAAACGTGGCTTCTAAGGAACCAAACTTACTTGTAATATTTTAAAACAGCATTTYGGAGAACAGAGTAGAATGTTTATGTTGCTCCGGAGGAGAGCAGGTTCCAGCCTCAGAACACCTGGAGTAGGACTGTGCRGTATAGATGGTAGAAACAATATGAAGTTGGCCTACGGTAGAAATTTACCCTCTTACCGTCATTGCACCTGTGTCTACAGGGCTGCGAGTGCAGAGGCAGCTGAGCAGGAGGAGTTCCAAATATGATGAAAATAAATGAAGAAATATAGCGTTTTAAAACACTTATAGAGAGAATAAATCTTCAATTTCCCCCTCCCGCTGTATAAAAGTTATGTTGCGGGATCATTTCTTCCCTCCCTCACGCTGCACATCGAGCAGAGCGAAGCTTTAACCACCGTAGTTTTTTTCACACCCAAGTTGTCGGAGAAAAAAAACTTGTTTTTATGTATTGTTACCCTCAGAGATGATTTAAAAAAAAAGATGTGGTTCATTCATAAATCCATCTTGCTAATGTAGCCTAAAGTCTGCTTCTGCTCTGATGATGAAGATGAGAGCAGCAGAGCAGCGGGTCAGTTCAGCAGGCAGAAGCTCATGGTATGGCAGACAGATATTACATTTATTTGGCTTCAACACACTTACATTCTAGTTATGTGAAATTGTTTTATGACAGTATGTGCAACTTAAGCCCCTTAAGGTCCTGTCACGCTATAACGTTTTAGGCAACTTATGACAACTTAGAATGTTTTTATGTCTAAATTACTCATTTTACTTGAAGTACTGGTTATAACATTCACTTTATTTTGATATTGTTGAAAATTTGTGAAATGTTTTTGTATATTGTTGAAACCGTTTTGCATTATATATAAAACAGTCTTTTATACTTCTGTTGTGTTCATTTGCTCTACAGCAAAAATGCTGGGTTTGATTGATTACAGTTTTCTGCAAAATAAAAAAATTACATTCTTTGCTTTTTATGATAATTTCCTACTGCGATATACTGTATGGTAAATGGTAAATGGTACTGAACTTATAGAGCGCTTTTCAAGTCCCTCCGGACCCCAAAGCGCTTTACACTAACAGACATTCACCCATTCACACTCACATTCACACACTGATGATGGCAAACTACACTGTAGCCACAGCTGCCCTGGGGCACACTGACAGAGGTGGGGCTGCCATGCATCAGCGCCACCGATGTATAACGTATACAGTTACTGTGATAGGATTCAATTTATAACATGAAATGAATTTGAGGTCATACCACCCAGCCCTAACCTGCAGTCCAGTTAGACTCACTTCACACAGTGTTCAAAAAAATTGTTTTTACTCAGACTTATTTTATTCTTTCATCTTTCCATTCAGCAAACTACCATATTTATTCATGTATAATACGATCTTGAGTATAATACGATCATAATTTTTGAGCTTGCAAAGCATAAAAATCTAATTATCAATAACCCGTGTATAATACTATCCCCCCCACTTTATCGATGACTTATGGTGCGTTCACACCGAACGCGATTTCAGCTTCAAAATCGCAGCCAACGCTGAAGTCTGAAGCTTGTGCAC